GCGCGCATGTGACGTCACAGGCATTGCGGTGAGGAGAGATGCAGGAGGAGAGGATGATGATGATGATGCTCCAGATGTCAGCGCTCACAAAGGCCGAGGAGTAACGCTGGGGACCCGAGCGCTTTAATACAGGGTGTCTTCGGTGTGTGTGTGTGTGTTAAGTGTGAGTGTGTGTGTGTTTGTGTGTTTGTTGTTTCTCCTCTGCCGGAATCATCCGCGCGCACATCTGTGACTCCGTGATTTCCGCTCCGCATCTGTGAGTATCCGGTCCTTTATTCACTCGCCATCAGATCTGCGGTGACCTGCGCTGTGATTAAACACATGCTCGTCTCCAATGACTTCAGATCAGTTTGTTTACGCAAGGTGGAGGATCCGCAGGGATCAGCGTCATGACGACACACGCGTAGACACGCCCAAAACATCCTGCGTGACCTCAGCTCATACTATAAACACGGTATGAGGAGTGTGTGTCATGCACAGAATTAAACATGCTTCATTTTGACAACTATACCAACACTAGGCAATCACATAAGAACACCTTAGCAACCACCCAGAACCCCCTAGCAATGCCTTACAATCGTGACACTAGCAACTGTCCAAAAACAGTGTGTGTGTCTGAGAGGCAGTGTGTGTCTGACTTATGTTACAGGAGCTAGTGTGTGTTTCCTGTGTTACAGGTAGGGATGGCTGACGTGAAACTGATGTTTTGACACAGTGTCGAGATCCCGAAGCGCAAGTGTTTCGAATCACTGCACCGAAGCATGATCCGAAGCACCCAAGTCACGTGACTAAAGTGTTTCGAAACACCTAGTCACGTGACTAAAGCGATTCAAAGCATCGATCAGCTTAGAAACGTTTCGAGACCTGGTGAATGCTAACTTGACTACCAAGGTCTCCAAATTATCTCTGTCTCAAATGGCTTAGAGCTCTGTGGGTTTGCTTATTGATTCTATGCTTAGCATGATGTTTTGGGTTCGAATCCCGACTTCGAAATCATGGTTTTATGTATTTTAATCATGTTTCTGTTTTGTGTAGCCTAAATAGGATACAGCTACAGTTACGCCATCAATTTAGCATCATTTTTGTAACACTGTAAAACAATAATAAATATTTTTACAGTATGGTTGGGTTTAGGGTTTGGGTAGACATTAATAAAATACAATAAATGGGAAATTTAATGAATAATATAAATAATTCTTGATAACTTCAGGCCACCGTTTTTGATCTAGCAACAACCCTGTTTTAAGACAAACACAAGACATATTTATTCACAAATTGTTTATTCGGATATCAGACCAATGTTGAAACAAAACGATACAAGAGCAAAGCATTACCAACTGGTATTAAAGCATTTTAAAACAACTGCTGCTGGCTGGCTTCGAAACCTACTACTCCTGCATGGATGTCTGACACCTTAACCACTGTACTATGTTACTTGAACGATTTCACTTTCACAAAGTGAGGTTTAATCCCTCAATTTGTTCAATCGTTCTTTGCTGAAGCTGTTTCAGTGCAATATATATAAAAAATTACCACTAAATGTCACTGTAGAGTGAGGTTTCGAAACGTTTCGAAGCTTCGACACATTTGCTTCGACTGTTTCAGTGTTTCACGAAGCCTCGCTTTGCCCACCACTAGTTACAGGGGCCGGTGTGTGTCTGTGTTGTGTTACAGGAGCCAGGTGTGTGTGTGTGTGTGTGTGTCTAGGGGCCGGCGGAGGGTCTGGTCTCTGCTGGTGAATCAGTCAAGCTGGAGGAGCGGGGCCGCGAGTGCTGGACTTCTGCTGAAGGCCCGTGTCTGCAGTCGGGCCCTGAGGAGCAGTATGTAGACCAGGGCATTGAGGAGCCACCAGCGCCTCACACACACTCACACACACGCTACCGGGACGCACAGACCATCACAGGTCAGTCCAGTGGAGGAGGAGATATGTATATGTGTGCGTGCTGATGTGTGTGTGTGTGCTGATGTGTGTGTTTGTGCTGATGTGTGTTAATGTGTGTGTATATATATATATATATACTGTATGTGCGGGTGCTGATGTGTGTGTGTGTGTGTCAGATGTGTGTAACAGCACAGAGCTGCCGGAGGTGGAGATCATCAGTCTGCTGGAGGAGCAGCTGCCCGTCTACAGGCTGAGGGCCGACTGTGTGTTCGGGTATGAACACGACGACTGGATACACACACCTCTGCTGCCGGCGGACACACACACCGACCTGACCACTGAGCAGATCCAGGAGACACTCAGCTACTTCTGTGAGTCACACACACACACACACACACACACACACACACACACACACACACACACACACACACATATAATTGTATTTGTTGGATATACCTAGGTGGCTGTGTGGTCAGCACTGTGTCCTCACAGCACTCAGGTCTCTGGTTTGAGTCTCGGCTGGCTCAGTTGGTGTTTCTGTGTGGAGTTTGCATGTTCTCCCCGTGTTGGTGTGGGTTTCCTCCGGGTGCTCCGGTTTCCCCCACAGTCCAAACACATGCGCTATAGGGGAACTGATCAACTAAACTGACTGTAGTGTATGAGTGTGTGTGTGTGTGTGTGTGTATATATATATATATATGAGTGTGTGTATGGGTGTTTCCCAGTACTGGGTTACAGCTGGAAGGGCATCCGCTGTGTAAATCATTAGCTGGAATAGTTGGCGGTTCATTCCACTGTGGTTAATAAAGAACTAAGCTGAAGGAAAATGAATGAATGAATAATTATGATTAATCCTATGCTATATGTAAATGATTGATAATTATTTATCTCACCTCGCTCGTTGGGTAAGTCCAGGCCTGGCTGTAGGAGGAATGTGTGTTAAGTGTGTGTGTAGTGATATAGATCTGCCAGCAGGTGGCGCTGCTCTCCTTTTATAAAACACTGGTGTAAACTGCAGAACTCTAAACCCGACCCTGTAGAGCGGCGTTCACCTGAATATCAGTGTAGGAGCTGACTGATACAGCCAGAGAGGAGCAGAGGCTGGCCCGGCTTTTCAAAAGGGTTAATCCGGATAAAACTGATCCAGATTTAGTCATCCTTTTTTTTGCGTTTGGTGATCATGTAATCCAGCCAGTTGTTTAAAGCAAGAGTGGATTGGATCAATCTGATCTGGATAGGATCTTTTCAGGATCACTGAATCTGGATAAGCAGTGCTGAAACCGGAGGAGATCCCCATGTAGAACTCGAGATGAAGAGCAGCGAGTAACATACAGCGAGTGTGGGTCAATATAACATTATTTTTATTTAAAATTAAAACACAAATATAGATGTACTGAATTAAAAAATAGACTTGAAGTCAAAAACTCACAGCAATTTCAGACTTCCTCGTGTGATGTGGAGAGAGCGGCCTGTCTGAGCGCAGGCTGATCTCAGGTCTGGCTGCAGGTTTGCTCAGAGTCTCTTTCTGCAGGTGTTGAAAGGGATTGCAGAGATCAGTCATTCTTTGCCTGTTTTGGTGATTCTGTAATCAGTGCATGCATCACTAATGATTATTCTACACACAGAGATGTTTTCCATAGTGATGTGTGTGTATATATCCATTAGTGACAGAATGAGATGCATTGTTTTTGGTCAGTTTTGACATGTGTGCGGGATTATTTTACCAGGTCAAACTCTTTCTGCTTTGCTGTATGTTCAAGTCTACCTAATCACTGCAGCCTGGCGGATGAACACAGTAAAACCTCATCAATAAACAGGATCTCCTGCTAGATTCTGCATGATCCACATAAAGGATTGTTTGATACGTTTTAAAGTTCTCATTACATTTTGGGCATGAAATCCACGCTGACTCCAGCCTTCTGATCTGATCAGTTTAATCCAAGTATTTTGGATCACAGTGATCTAAATCCTACAGAAAAGCTCTGAAAAACCCAAACTAAAGGTTTGATCCGGATCAAAACCAAGAGGAGACCAAGGGACAGCTTGTGTGTAGGTTTAGTGTGTTTGTTTAGTGAATGAGTGTGTGTTTAAGTGTGTGAGTGTGTGTGTTTGTGTGAGTGTGTGTGTGTGTGTGTGTGTGTGTGTTTGTGTGTGTGTGTGTGTGTGTGTGTGTGTGTGTGTGTGTGTGTGTGTTTGTGTGTGTGTTTGAGTGTGTGTGTGTGTGTGTGTGTGTGTGTGTGTGTGTGTTTGTGTGTGTGTTTGAGTGTGTGTGTGTGTGTGTGTGTGTGTGTGTTAGTAATCAGTAACTGGATGTGATGTGATTGCGTCTGGCTGTGGATGTGGTTGCCGGGCAGCAGCACCAAGGAAACAGTCTCCACGGTGATCAGGCATGGCTTGTCAGCGGTGTTATTGTCAAAGGGCTGCTGCTGTTCTCAGGTCAGTGTGTGTGTGTGTGTGTGTGTGTGTGTGTGTGTGTGTGTGTGTGTGTGTGTGTGTGTGTGCGTGCTTCTGCTCTTCTGTAATCATCTGTTGTTCAACT